TCCAATCAAAAGCAAGACAAAACCAATGGGGGACTAGTCTCTCAGTTCCCCTTTACACTCTGCTCATTGTCAGGATCAGAGGGGAAAACAGGCTTTTGCCAGACAGTCCTGGGAACTTTAAATATGCTTTATTTGTCAGCAAACCAAAATAACAGGCTTTGTCTTCAGATTCAGCTCAAAGAAGACAGGTGTAGCTTCTCATCAGTGTGTAGTTCTACCCCACGGGAGCTGCTAATTGTATTGGATCCTCTGTTCTTACCTTGACTTCTGTACCTCTGACACCTCAGGTATACATGTCAATAGACACAGATCAATAAATTTTGTCTAGTGCCACAGGGTCACCCTAAAATGAGACTCGAGACCTTGGAGTATGATGACAAAATATATTGAGAATATGAGTTCTCAAAAATGACAGAAGATCACAATGCGGAACACTTATTGATGTATACAGTTTCAAGTATCAAACAATGTAGTACCTCTTTAGGTTCTGGTAAGGTTAGCATAAACTGTAGCTTTCCCCATTGGAAATGCGCAACCTAAGGTGAAGGTAAATTTGGTATCAATAGAATAATGACTAAGTCGCCTAGAGTCACTTATGGTAAGGAGGCTAGGGCCTAAGATATAATGCAATAACTGCAAGGTAACTGTAAACTCTTGCCTAGGCAGGATAACAGGTACTCTAATACAGTCCTCAAAGCAAGTCTTCAGACGGCCACATTAGAGCTCTTGAAGAAGGTTTTGCACTCGAGGCAATAATTTCTTCAACAAGGAAAAAATGTTTGAAGAACACTGATTTCCTAAGGGTACTGAGTGGTGAAGTGTCCAACAAGGGATTAATTATCAAGGGTATAATAATAGATATCTCTCAGATGTTCAGAGACACAGTTTTAAAGCCACAGGACTATTGCAGAAAGTTTATAGATTATAGGGGGACAGAAGGTTTATGGATGATAAGGGGTGTCTTTAAGAGGGATAGTGCAGTATGACTTTTCAATTATATCAATACAGGGCCAATCAATATATCACAAAGCATCCATTCACCTGTAGTAGAAAGTTTCTGTGGTGACAAACCGGGGGCCCCGTTTAAGGTGGAAACAGTATCAGATGAGCTTCTGCAGCGATCAAACAGCGGTAGCTCCAGTGGTGTATTTAGGTTTTGTGCTGCCCTAGGCAACACAAATATCGGCTTCCCCCCCCCCCCGCAGAGAGAGAGCCCAACATTGACCAAGAACACCCCTGCCCCCACCCGGGACAGCCTTCCACTACCACTGTCCCCCATACACCAGCCACCATCCCCCATGGCGAGAGGGAGAAAGACACTCATCTTCATAGCTCCGGACATCCCCAGGAACGAGAGTCGGGCTGTGCATACACCTTCATGAAACCCGCAGCCTCTTTTGGAACCCACCCAGGTCCCTATGCTGCGTGTGTCCTTTCTTCTGTCCCTTCTTCTGAGGGGCAGTGCTGCCCCTCCTGAATAATGCTGCCCTAGGCAAATGCCTTGTTTGCCTTGTGGTAAATACACCCCTGGGTAGCTCTGCGTTACAGCTGCACCCTTAGCTAGGCTTGGTGGTGTCATGGCAGGAATCAGCAGGTGTGGGTCTCTGGTGGCTGCAGTACTAGGCCTCAGGATGATCCACAGCTCCAGTGGACAGCAGGAAGCTGGATTTGGCAGATTGCAGCAGCTTCCTCAGATTTCCAGAACTGACAGACACTGTCTCTCATGTAATGCATAGTCTTTCCCGGTATCTTCCTCTCTATCTCTCCCTCTGAGAAAACCTTCCCTTCTCTACATACCTCTCTCCCCACATGTCTCTTTCCCAAACTGCCTTGTGGTCCCCCGGGCTTTCTGATTTTATATGACCCTTCCAGAATTAAGGCATGCTTCCTTTTGTAGTTTATGGGTCTGGTTAGTATTGGAGCTCCTTCTGGCTGGGTCCACAACTCCCAGAGTGCAGTACTCTCAGCTACAAAACCCCTTGGCCATGCACCTGTTTGTATAGCTGGTGCAGTGGCGTGGGGGGAGCTCAGTAATGCTGAGTTGCACTGAAGTTGGATTGCCTGGTGTGGACACTTTGGCCTCTGTACTGCCACAAACACCACCAATTTTGGCGTGAATTCTAAAAACAGTGTCACGACATTCTATATTAATTCCTCCCATGTCTTAACTCCAACATCTCCCTATTCTTGCAAATGTAAGCAGCAGACAAAACAAAAAAACATGTATCAACACTGGGTTGCTGCACCTAAAATGTAAAGATGTTAAAGGAAAAAGTCTCTATATTATGCAGGTGTCCTGATATCTTCCATGGTGTTGCACCATCTTCAATAGTTGTTTCCAGCTCTGATCCATTTGGGAATGTCTGCTATGTTTTAAGCTGGATTGGAAGTTGGTGAAGATTCTTCAGTGCTGTTTGTACCACCTCTCTGCTTTATTGTTCTAAGAATTTTTTTCTTTCTTCTGTAAAAAGTTCAACCGGCTTTAACTCTGTATGAGCTTGGAGCAGATTTCTCTACATGTGTACTTTTTCACCACAGTTCATCTACTGAAATAGGCAAAAGTTGTATGTGCACTGTGTGACCTATATTCAGCCTTGGGAGCTCCTTGGCTCTTTTCCCATAGTGTGCTTTTATTTTTTTGAAGTTTTGCTCTGAGCTGGTCTTCTACCCCTTCTATTACCTTTAGAAACACACGCTTTTTGAGCTATGAGAAAGAAGGTTTGTGTTCCTCTTGACATAAGTCTTTGTACTAGACTACTTTTAGTACCTTCTTTTTCAATCCCTCTTTTTCTTTATTAAGCATCTTTGCTATATTTACAGAAGCTTCAGCCTTGCCATTGGACTGACTAAGATATGGCCATGTAACTTGTTCAAATTCCCACTTTCTGAAAAACCTTTCATACTCTAAACTGATAAATTGTGCCCCCCTTATCTGTGATGACAAAGTCATATGTTCCAATGAAATGCAGATTAAAATGCATCCTACAGCATTCAACTATTGTTTTTGAAATGGTATCATGCAGTGCATCTATCTAACAAAATTCTGAATAATGATCAACTGTATTAAAGTATTTCCTGTCCTGGTACAGAAAATAAGTCTTGGACTAGCTAGAGCTGGTAACCCGTGTTTTAAAAGGGGTTCCTCATTACAGGTGTTATGGTTCTTTATTGTTGCAATGATGTCTGGACCCAATTGTGGCCAGGATAACACATCTTTGGCATTGTGAATGCATGCATCCATTTCCAGATGCCTTGAATGGATTTGCGCTATCATTTCTAGACACATGCTTTGGGGTATAATGATTCTGTTTCCTTTATACAGAATTGTATTCTGTATACCGATTTCATCTCTAAAACCCCAGTAGTTTCTAATACAAATTGGTGTATTTTCGTTTTGGTCAAGATATCCAGATAGAACCGTTGTTTTTATTGACTGTAGACTCATCTTGCTCTCAGTAAGATGTTGGATTTGTTGCAGTCTGGCATCAGACCCCTTAAATAATCAGAAAGGTTAATCTGCTCTATCTCTTTTTGAAAAGCTTCTTCAGCTAGCAAAGAAAACATTTCATAGTCAGGGGTGTTTCCTTTGAAGTAGCTTTTAGGTAGTGCTGCTCTTGACAAGACTTTTCCAATAAAACTTTCAGATCCTTTTTTTGTGTGTAGGATGTATTTTTTTTAACTGTAGTATCATGTGCTGTAAACATTTCTGGGCTGCCATTGGATTTAAAAAAAAAAATGCTTTCCAGTGGCTTGTGATCAGACTCGGGGTTGATAAGCTTTATAATGGTCACATTTCTGACAAATATATTCTATAGCCAGACATTATTTTTCAATCTGCTCCTATCTCCGCTTTGTTAGTGATAGCGTGCGTGATGCAAAGGCAACTGATTGACTGTTTTGCAATAGAGTTTGCTCTGAGCCCTTTCTCACTGGCAACACATTGAGCTCTTACTTTTTCATTGACATCATAGCACTGTGTGGGTCATGGCTGATTTTCACAAAAATGCACATATACAATTCCTTGCTTAGTGCACTACAATATCAACAGGGAAGCTGCTCAGATAATATCTTGGTTTATGATATTTAAAAGAAACGCGACTCCTGGAATATGCTGTGCTACCATTTGAAATAAAAATTGTCAAAAAAGTGAACCAATTGGCCTAACACATAATAACATACAAAGTGAAACAAGTGAAATATGAAATAATTGTAGTGAAATCAGAAGAGTCCAAAGTGCTTCCTTAGAATAAAAGGTGATTCAAAAGAGTCCACTCCCAATTCCTTAAAGTGGTTGTAAACCTGAAATATAAAAAATAAACTAAACAGTTTTCCTGGTACAGTTCAGCATCAGAAGCCATCTGTCCCCAGTCTTGCAAAGAAAAGTGGATCCAGCATTGTTAAATCCTCTCTGCTTTCTTGCAGGGTTAAAAAAGTGACACATGACAAAAAATGGTGTCGCCACCCGACCCTCCTGTGATTGACAGACTAGATAAATCTTTCATGCATGAGAAGGGGCCGTATGTCCAGATTTCCAGCAATAGATCGCTGCCCCCCATCTCCTCTGGCTCACCCACAATTGGCTGCTCCACAGCCTTAGCATTATTGGCCATGCTGACGTCAGGTGGTGCCTTGCATGAGTTCCGATTGTCCAGTACTCATAAAGGGGAGTGGCTAGCCACCAGGAGTTCACGCTGTCCTGCTGTCAGGCTGGAGAGAGTGTAGAGATGGGAGGAGAGTCCAGTGAGGTCACGACTCCGCCCCCTGAGCTCTGGCATGCAGACATGCCCACTGGTGCGGGCAAGGGCAGACTGACCATTTAGAGTCTCGGGCACTGCCTGAGGGCCCGGGGTCAGTAGGAGGCCCCATGAGATGCCCCTGGTACATTTTTCATAGGCTTTTTTGAGTTTGGGCAAGGACACAGGGGCCCCATGATCTCCTATTGCCCGGGGGCCCCATGAGTTGTCAGTCTGCCCCTGGCCGCAGGGGATACAAATTTGAAGGTAAATGTTCAGCGATTTGCTTTTGCAATTAATAGGGTGCCTTTCTTCTATGTTGCACTGCAGGGTTACAACCACTTTAATTAGACTCCTCTGTGTGAATGCTAGCGACCACCACAAGGACTTTTACCTAATATTAAGACCTCAAAACCGTAGGAGACCAAATCTCACATAAAAGTAGGCTCTCCAGCAAGGGAACAGAACACTACCAGCCAATCATCAAATGAAGATGCCTCCTCAAACCATAATAACATGTAAGAAATAGTACTCACATATTGCAAGTAAACTATTTTACATTTATGAATAAAATCCAATACTAAAAACTCATTAAGGTAAGTAAAAAAGCCTGCAAGTAAGTAAATGTATCCTCTCACCATCCTGCTATCTCATACATAATACAGTGATGTCAGCACACCATGCTCCAACCAACATGTTTCGTCAAAAGTGACATCATCAGGGCCCATGGGCGCTGAGAGACCACAGGTAATATATAAAGCATAATTCAATTAGGGTCAAGCAAAATCCCACTTCACAAATGTCACTGATCTCCAGCAACATAAGCACAAACAGTAAATTAAAATTATTAGATGAAAGATCTCCATCTACAGTAGAGGCTCCATAGTAAAAGTAAACCCCTGTGGAAAATATCTCCTTTTAAAGCAGTATTAAACCCAAACCTTCCCTTTGTTTTCAACCTGCTTTCTGGGGTTTTAGATGTACTAGCAGATTTAGATACAGTAAACAAATAGAGGCCAAGACCCACCTGAAACTATTTAGGCAGTTATAGCAACAGTTTTGTTATTTTTTGGGATAGAGGTTATTCATAAGTAAATTAAAGCTGGCCATTGTAATCACCCCTGTCAGTGGTAAATGGTTTTTCTCAACCCTCTAACTGCTATAACTGCAGGACAGCTTATTCTGTTGAGAAATAACAGACTTAATGTGGTAGTAAACTTTAGACAAAATTAAAATCTTTTCCCTGCAAGTTAAGGTATGCTAGTATGTATCACTGTATCACTACCCCCTTAGGGATTGCTGATGAATAGGGTCCCCCTATAGTCCTGCACAACCAATCATTCAGCATTTACCATACAAGCTTTCATCCGGAGACAGAACCAGTCATTGAGAACTGGTTTTGTTATTTTATTGAAGGGATTAGAACTTGGCTAGGGTAAGGGGTATAGGATGTCCAGAAATTTGAGGGTAACTTCCTGAACTATTCACAAGCTTCTCTTCTCTGATGCAGTCCCTGTTGGAGTGCAAGCAAGCTGCTCCTAGTTATACCAGCCCAAACCCTAGATGAACTCCTCTTCACCCAGCGATCTGGAGACTGGCTTCCTAAGCAGGGGATCTGGCTCCTGTTTCTTTAATTGAGGTAAACAGTTTCTCACCAGACTGCGCCTTCTCCTATCTGCCCAGGGGTTGCAGGTGTACTCACTCAGATCCTCTCCTGTACTTCTCATGGAATGGCTGCTGCTACCAGTCCTATCAGCTGGGTTGCTCCTTCCCTCGCTCAGGGGGCCAGTGAGTCCCGAGTTTCCCTCCTTTCCAGCTCCAGGCTTGCAGACAGGCCCCTTCTCACTAGGCCTCCTGACAGCGTTCCTCCTCCAGCCTCACATTTTCCTACTCCTTCTTCCACCTGACTCTCCACTCCACCCACTAAAAAGGCTCCAACACTTTTAAGAAAGTCCCTTGCCAAGCCTTCTGTTGGGCATTGGCTGAGGTCCCTCAAGAGTGCAGCCAGCCACTCCTCAGATCCTCCACTGCCAGCAAAGCCCTTCTCCAAAAGCCTCAGAGCAGGGGGAACTTCCAGAGGGGCTGGTCTGCAGAGTCTTTCAGCCCTGACCAAAATTTTACCCCACTGGCTATTACACCTGAGCTGCTAACAGCTCCTGTCTAACCATTAGGGTTTAGCTCCCCCTAGCTGCAATAGCTACATCACATAGTAACATTATGAAAGACTTACCTTAAAACGAAGCCCTCCAGTGGCATGCTGTTACAGCTGACAAGGTTTCCATCTTCACCTGGTCCTGTCACTCCCGATCATATGCATAGGAGTCATGGCCGCAGCACATAGCTCTCTGAAGGGACGGCATGAGTATGTTGTCCCTTCAGAGCCTATTCACCAGTGATGTCACCGGCTGCAGAACCAGTGAATATCTCCTAAACTGCGCACATGTAAGAGATATTCCATGTATCTACTGGTTTATTATAAGCTTAACTGTAGTTACAAGTGTCCAAGTGGAGTTTACTACCACTTTGCATACATGGCTCAGTTTCTGTCATTCAGCCATTGGGCTGAACGAAGAAAACTGAACTGATTCCCCCATCCACACATTCAAGGTGGATGTGGTAATCCTCCCCTCTGTGTCATTGTGTTCTGATAGTGGAGGTATTGGCTGGAGTCCTCCACTGTCAGAATACACTGCAGCCTATAAAGCAGGGGTAGGCAACATTTCAGAGGTTGAGATCTACCTGGGCAACATGGAGGAAATTAAAGATATCCCCCAATAATAAAAAAATGGCATGGATAACACATATTGTGTCACAGTAGTGTCTTCTGCCCTGCTTCCAGTCACTCCCCTCTATGGTAGTATCCTCTGCCCCCCTCCCCCACAGGGGTGTCCTCTGCCCCTTTATACATTAACCCCCCAAATAATGTACTCTACCCCCCCACTGTAGTAGTGTTTTCTGCCTCTCTGCCCCCCACACGGTAGTGACCTCTATGCCCCCATAAGGTAGTGTCCTCTGCCCTCCCCCCCCCCACAGTAGTGACCTCTGCCCCCTCCACACACACAATAGTGTCCTTTGCCCCCCATAGCAGTGTCCTCTGCCTTCCCATAGTAGTGTCCTGTACCCAACCCCAAAGCAGAGCCCTGTGCCGCCTCCCCCCCCCTAGCAGTGTCCTCTGCCTCCCCATAGTAGTGTCCTGTGCTCCCCCAAAGCAATGTCATCTGCCCCCCATAGCAGTGCCCTCTGCACCACCCCAAAGTAGTGTCCTCTGCCTCTCCTTCAGAGCACTGTTCTCTGCACCCTCCCCCCCCCCACAGTAGTGTCCTATGCCCCACCCCCAAGATGTTTTTTGTCCCCCACAAGTATTGACATTTGCCCCCTGCTCAACACACAGCCGTGTGTAGGTACATCTCCCCTACCTTAAACCGGCTGTACATCAGAGCCGAGTGAGAGGCAGCACAGTGCTGGATAGAGGGTGGGAACGAGAGTTGCCTTCTGCCAGAGTTAACTTTTCATGTTGTGAACAAGCTGATGATTGGTTACTAGGACCACATAGTAACCAGTCACCTGCTGGTTAACTTGCAAAGTTAACTTGAGTAGCTCCCATGCTCCCGCCCTCAATCTGGCACTGTTTTGCCTCTCACTCCACTCTGCTATTAATAGGCAAGCGGCAGAGGCTGGCGTGAAGCATCAGCACAGCCCTGATCATGATCTACCTGTCAGCCTACCGCGAATGACACATGTAGATCGTAATCGACAGGTTGCTGATCCCAGCTATAAAGTATATAAAGTTTTCCAGCAAGCCCATTCATGAGGCGTCAATCAGTAGCTTGCATTCCCCTCTCTGCTTGTGCAGTGTTTTTACCGCACAAGCAGAGCTTGCACAGCCTCAGCTGATTGGGGGTGGGGAGTGGGGGTGCTGAAGGGCTGTGCAGGCTCTGCTCATGCAGTATAATCACTGTTTGCAGGGATGGGAGCTGTCTGCAGAGCTTTGAATATAAACAATATAAGACATCAAAGCTCACATCCCCTACACCTGGTCCGACCTGTGGCAATTTTCTGTGTTGAAAGCTGCTGCAGTCTCTTTGTGTCTACCACTTGCCCTCCAGAGAATTTACCCCCCTTCCTGACCAGGCCATTTTTTGTGATATGACGCTGCGTTACTTTAACTGACAATTGCGCAGTCATGCAACACTGCACCCAAATGAAATTTATGTCCTTTTTTTCCGTAAATGGAGTTTTCTTTCGGTGTTATTTGATCACCGCTATAAACAAAAAAAGACCGACAATTTTGAAAAAAAAAAACAATATTTCTGACTTTTTGCTATAAAGCATATCCAGCAAAAAAAATTTAAATAATAAAAATTTGTTATAAATTTAGGCTAAAATGTATTCTGCTACATGTCATTGCTAATAAACAAAATCCCAATATGTGCAAATTAATTGGTTTACTGTACGTGAAAGTTATAACATCTACAAATGGTGGTATATATACTAGAATCTTCTTTTTTTTTTTTTGACTAGTAATGGTGGCGATCAGTGACTTATAGTGGGACTGTGCAACTGTGGCAGGCATTCTGACACGGGGGGGAACTAACTGCCACTGACATCCCCAGTGACACCAATACAGTGATCAGTGTTAATAAAAAGCACTAACACTGTACTAATGACACTGGGCAGGAAGGGGCAAGGGCGGACTGACCATTTGGAAACTCGGGCACTGCCCGAGGGCCCAGGGTCAGTAGGGGGCCCCATGAGATGCCTCTGGTACCTTTTTCATAGGCTTTTTTGAGTTTGGGCGAGGACACAGGGGCCCCATGATCCCCTAATGCCCGGGGGCCCCATGAGTTATCAGTCCGCCCCTGTGAAGGGGTTAACATCTGGGGTGATCAAAGGGTTAACTGTGTGGTGTTTTACTATATTGTTTGTGTGTGCTTTACTGTGTAAGCACGCTGCTCTGTATTGCTCTACTATGCAAAGCAGCGTGCTGGTGCTGACAGGGGAGAGATCTGTATTGTTTACATCTCCCAGTGATCAACAGCTGTTGCCACCAATGGCGGCGCAGGTAGGGCAGCGTGCGCCCCCTACCTGGAAATACAAAATCACATATATATACGTGATTTTGCGCAGCACTGCCACTCTGTAGCAGTAGTTCTGTTATAGGGCAGTCGGGAAGCAGTTAATTAGGTGCAGAACCTACGTACGTTTCTATTTTCATATCTATTTCTTACACCTTTGTTGATTTGTCCTCACTTTCAAGGCTATATTTTTTTGCAGTATAATGTACAATCTCTAAATCCGCCTTGCT